GGTAGAAGGATCGGGACGCACTTCGAGGGCTGTCGGGTTTGTCCCTTTGTCTGGTGACCAGCGGCCTCGGAGTGGTCCCCGTCCAGACCAGGAAGGCAACAACGGCGAAGGATTTTGCAGAGAAATTCGCCATTAACGAATCAATCAGGCAGGCTGAAACCGCGCAGTCGCAACTTGGGGTAAAGTTAGTTTCTTTTTCGGGGCAAGATAAACCTCTCCCCAGCCCAGAGCGAGAAGGAAGTGATCCGGAGCGACCCCAGAGCCCCGTCCATATAAACTCTGGGTTTGCAACTGCAGCAAAGAAGGGGGTCAAGTCCCAAAAGAAAGAGGAAGGGTCTGTAGGGCCCGGAGAAGCCCCTGCAAAGGCCGACTCTGGTGCACGCACGTCCCGGGGAAGGCCGTCCTCGCGACCCCCCCCCCCCCGCTCACCTGGCTTTTCCAAGGGTCCCGCAACTCTGTGACAGCTGGTGACAGCGGGGGGCGCCTGGCGGGGAGAAGGCTGGCCCGCCTGCAGAGCGCCCTCCAAGCCTGGGAGCCACAGACTATAGGCAGGGGAGACTGGGGTGGCGATAGGCAACAGAATGGAGGAAAAAGAATAGGGAAATCCGAAGGATGCGCCACACTTCGTCGAGTCAGACTGAGCGGAGTCTGCCCCCACTCCGGCCTTTATATAGCTGTCTGCCCCTGTCATCGTCACATAATCCTCGGCTTGGGTGGAACAGAAACGGATCTCATTTACAAATCGGAAACATCTATTGCTAATGCCTTGTCTGATACAGAATTTATTTTCTTCGCGGTCCACCACTGAAAACAACACTGTAAAACCACGTAGGTAAGTAGTATAAAATAAAGACCAAGAGGCTGGTAGTACACAGAAGTTAAAAAAAAAAAGTACACAGAAGTTAAAAAAAAGTAGCCTTCTTTTACAAAAAGTAAAATCCTCCTACCATGTAAGAAAAAGGAAATATGTCATTTATATCAGAACTTCAGGGTGATTTTTGTCCAAATTAAATGTTCTAAACCTTTGGTGCCGTGTACTCCTTGGGCAGTCTAATGAGGGATGTGGACCCCTTCTCAGAATAATGTTTCTAAATGATAGAAGGAAATGCTGAGTTTCAGTTAGAGGTTAGTGAAAATCAAGATGCATTCTTCCCCTATCCAAGTTTGTGGACCCTCACAAAACTATCTGTGGACTCCTTAAAGGTCCATGAAAAATCTCTGGTCTAAAGGTTAGATGGGTGGATGCTACAGGTGATCTCTTTACAAACCTCACAAACTCTGGCACAAATATTTTAACTAACTTTACTGGTTACTACTACAACAACCATCAAAAAAAAAAGATTTGGGAACTATGTTGGACCATGTGTCTTTTCCTCACTTGTCCCCCCAAAGCACAGCCTCTACCGCCACACTTCCCCAGTTTCTCTTTCTGCAAATGCCCCACGTTAATGGGAAGTGGCTTTAGGTCTGCCACTAAGTGCAGCAGAATTCAGTTGCTTTTTATTTTTAAATTGTCAGAAGTTGAAGTAAAATATTACAGCAATATGAATTTCTCTGATACTAATAATGTAATGTATGAGTTACAGCTATTTCGCATAATGGTGAGAATATTAGCATTAAAGACTGCTCTCTGTTTCAAAGGGAAGTTTGTGGTCATTAAAATAACTACAATTTCCCAATAGCAATCTAGCCTACTCTTTCTCCTTGTTCAGTCTTGGGTCTTGTTCCTGGTCTCTTTGTAGTGTTTATTCAAGATTTACATGTATGTCTGTGTGTGTGTTGTGTATGTGTGTGCCACTAAGATTTATCTTTGCCTAAAAATGGAAATGGAATCCAGTTGGACTCTAAATATCTGGTAATATACAATATACAAAAAATGATAATACAATAAAAATATGTTGTGAGAAAAAGTTACAGGGCCTCTCTTTCATTTTTATTGAAATTTTTATTTTTTTACTCTATTATACTCTAGCTTCACTATCCTCTCAAGTAAAATTAGACCATAATAAAGATTTTAAAACAAGCACTATGTGCTTTCTTCTCAATTAATATCCATTAAGCTGAAAACCTAGGACCTATTGTTTATACTTTAATTACTTTAACTTTAACTACTTGAAAAAACAATCAAAGAAAGCCCTTTCCATTTGCCATAGATGACCATATTGCTTTATTCAGCTCCTACTTCATAAAAGACCATCTACTATCCTTGTAGCTGGGAAAACCTATATCCCTAAAGCAGAGCTGCCCAGCCCTGACCTCAGGTAAAGTTCTTACGGGCATACTACTCTGCTTTCTGCAGACCAACAGTTCAGATTTTAGTGTTGCAGTATTTAAAAGCAATTCACTCCATACCACATGTTATTTTCTTCCCTTTGGAGGGGCCACACTGCCTTGTTATGGGATGATGATACGGACCTGATCCTGCCATACTAACTTTGAATCAATTTTGATGGATGATGGATGGATAGATGGGTGTCTATTCATCAACATCAGAAAGGGTTAGGGACTGGATCTGTGATTCTGTTGCTACAGAAAATTACTAGATGAGCTTTATAGATCATCTCTCTAGTTGTATAGTGTGCCAGCCTCTAACAGGAGCAAAATAGCATGTGGTATAGATCAAATTGCTTTTAAATACTGCAAAACTGAACTGTCTGTGTGCAGAAAGCAGAAGTAGAATGTTAAGAACTTTGCCCAATGTCAGGAATAGACAACTCAGCTTTAGGGATGTGGCTTTTCCCAACTACAATATCATATGGCTCATTTATGAAGTAGGCGCTGAAAGAAGTCATAAGGGTAACTATGGAAAACAGATGTGGCTTTTTTTTTTTCAAGTGGATAAGGGAACAACAGGTCATAGGTTTTCATCTTAATTGAGAGAGAAGAAAGCACACAGTGCTTGTTTTAAAATCCTTATTATGGTTCAATTTTACTTGAGAAGGTAGTGAAGTTAGACTATAATAGAGTAAAAAAATGAAAATTTCAATAAAAATGAGAAGTTCTGTGCTTTTCTTCCCCCCTCACCCCACTGTTTTTATTGTATCCACCAGATACTTATGAGTCTAACTGGATTCTACTTCAATTACTAGTCAAAGATAAATCTTCTCAGTAGCACGTAGAATAACAGATTATCTTCGTATATACTCTTTTCCAGTAATGTTTTAAAAACCATCTTGGCTCTGGAAAAGCCTTAATGCATATGATTTAAAATCACTCTGCAAATATAAATATTACTTTTTCCAAGGCCCTTCCACAAGTGCCTTGACTAGTAATAACTATTAAGAACTTGAAAATTAGTTTTATCTTAATGCTACTTAAAGGGCATGGAAAGAGTGCTGGACTAGGACTCAGAGGACCTGGGTTTGAATTCCAATTCTGCTTCTCACCACCTTTGTGACCTTGGGCACATTTACCCTCTTTGGGTTTCAGTTTCATCAATAGTAAAATGGGAGCCTCTGATTGAGGTCCCACCCAGCTCTCAATTTGTGGTTTTAAAGTCCTTTCTAGCATTAAATTCACGAACTTGTCTATTGCCATACCAATTGCCATTTCCAGACTCACAACAAAGGAGTTTTTTGTGTCATAGAATGTTAGGGCTGGAAAAAGAGTATTTGGTCCATTGTCTTCCTTTTACAGATGAAGAAACTGAGATTAGGGAGGTGTTTAATGTGGTGGTGAACACCATCTCTGATAGCACACAAACACCCACACAGTGTACGTTCCTTAAAGAGAAGGTGGTGTGTGTGTATGTTTGTATAAATATTTATATAGTTACATAAAGGCACATGTAGTTACATATGTGCTGTCTACCCACTGCTCTATCCTCAATAACAGAACGGTGCTAAGCATTTTACAAATATATCACTTAATCCTGGCAACAACCCTGGGAGGTAGGTGCTATTTTTAGCCACACTTTACAGATGAGGAAACTGAGGCAAACAGAGACGACATGACTCACCCAGGGGTCACACACAGCAAGTAAGGTATTCTACTTAGTTGTATCTTTACACTTCCCCCTTCACTGCCCATTCTCCATTTGCAACTGAACTGCCATTCCCCTGGTATATCTCAGTGAGGCTGACCAAGGGGAGCCCCGTCCTCTGGGTATGTGTCACCCACTGCACTTGCTGCCAGCCCCCTGAGGTGGTGGCGGGGGGAGAGTTTTGGTGAGCTGCTTCTGGAAACCTGTAAATGAAGGGGAATGGAGGGGCCCTGCCCCAATTCGTACCGTGTCATGGTATGCTATCCACTTACTGCACTGCTGAAGGTTAAGACTTTTGATTGGCCGCTGAGCTGAAATTGAGTGTGTGTACAAAAGCCTCCCAGAGAGGAGGCATCAAGCCACATCAGGAGACAGCCCCATCTCAGACACGGGCTTGCCTAGGAGGCCTCTTTACTAGTTTAAGGAAGAGAAGAGTTATCTGCTTAAAGACTGACCTAACTTGGGATGCTGGTGCCCACACAGTCCATTCAGGTTCTCCATGTTGGTTGCAGATGTTGGACTGTGTGAGAGAGCTGCCTTTCTTAAAGGGGACGCTGCTCATTTCTCCTCTCACCTTCCAAAAACTGTTCCTAGAACTTCTAGGTCTACCTATTTTAAAAGAATATCAATTGCAGACTCTTACATTAACCATTTATTCTTTTTTGTGTTGTTTTTCAGTTGTGTCTGACTCTCTGTGGTTCCATTTGGGATTTTCTTGGCAAAGATACTGGAGTGGTTTGCTATTTCTTTCTCCAGCTCATTTTGCAGATGAGGAAACTGAGGCAAACAGGGTGAAGTGATTTGCCCAGTATCACATAGCTAGTAAGTGTGTGAGGACAAATTTGAACTCAAGAAGACAAATCTTCCTGACTCTAGGCCCGGCATTCCATCCACTGTTCTACCTAGCTGTACCTAACTAAAATATTATAACATTAAAATATATTAACTAAAATATTATTAAATAATATTAAATATTAAAATATATCAGCAGTGCAATAACAACAAAATATGGAAGGCCTCAGATTCACTTTGTAGCTTTATTAATTATAACAGATTTTCTCCAGAGCATTAGTGACTCACAACTTCAAAAAAAGGGTAAGAACACAGAGCATAACATAACATAAGATGTTATTATTCAAAGTACCAGGAGGGAGTGCAGTTTATCGGCTTCTCTTTCCAGATGGTCTCCAGTCTCCTTGCCCAAGAAGCCACCATCTCCTTTCTCTTATCTTCTGATGTGTATTCGGGAGCAAAGCTGACCTGAGGGGCCAGGACTTTGAAACCACAGAAATGCAACACACCATGCTAGACTCAGAAAGAGAGAAAGGAATTGATCAGAAATATGACCCATTACATTTCAACTCAGTTAAAAACCTCACAGGAGTAACATGAGGGAGATAATCAAGCTCTGAAACATTAGTAGAAGCAATAACAGCAACAACAAAAGCCTCTTTAAAATTATAAATTCAGGGGCAGCTAGGTGGCACAGTGGATAGAGCTCTGGCTTTGGAGTCAGGAGGACCTGAATTCAAATCCAGCCTCAGACACATAACACTAACTAGCTGTGTGACCCTGGGCAAGTCACTTACCCCTGACTGCCTCACCAAAAAGTAAAAAAAACAACCTTATAAATTCACAGAAAATAAATCAACAGCCTTTTAACCTATAGACACAGGGTGTGGTAAGTCAGAAGTCTAATCAGCAATTAATATTTACAAGTTTTATTTTATAATTCAAATATGTATCAAATACTTCTGGGGGGCAAAGTAGATTAAGAGCCTAGTGGTATCTGTGAGAACAAGATTGGAATGTGTGGTAGACTAGATCGATGGTTTCAAACTTAAATTGAAACAGAGGCCACTAAACCATATATAAGGATCCCTATGGGCTGCTTATTGACCTAGAAAACCACATATTAACATTATTTGATTTATTGCATTTTTATTTATTTTGTTAAATATTTCTCCATTACAGTTTAATTTGTTTGGGGCAGCACTCAGGAGTGTTTTGGGCCTCATATGGCCCGTGTGTGACACCTCTGGTCTAGACAATGCTACAACTGGATAGAGTGGGGCCCACTGACTGGCCCCAAAGAATAGTCATTAATGGATGGATGTGAACTTGGAAAGAGGTTTCTAATGGAATGCCTCAGGGATCCATCCTTAGCTCTCTATTGACATGTTTATTTTTAATAATCATATATTTAATATTTCAGAAAAGTTTATTTCTTTGAAAATCAATTAGTAAGTCATATCCACACCTGTAGCTGCATATGACTCCGAGTTTGGTAAATCATTGAACATCTCTGGGTTTTCTCATGAATGACAGGAATGGACTTGATGATTAATATGGTCCATTCCAAACTGACATCCATGTGAATAATCATCTTGTGTTCTTGTGTAGTCCAACTCATATCACAACTTGTAACCAAAAGTTGAGATGCTGCTTCTGTCTCAATTCCACTGAAGCAGTGTTTCCCTTTAGCCCAAGTTCAGAGGCTAGCTTCTTTACCTTGAGCAGGATGTGCTGAGCCTGGGTGATGCTGCCAGGCAAATGTTGCCCCAGGGCCCAAGGCCATTGCTAGGGGGGCCCATGCTATAGAGGGTGAATTCAGAGGTGAGGAGGGGCGGGTGAAACTCTCTTCTTTTATGAGAAGGATTAACAGATACCCTCTTGACTCAAGGGAAGGGAGTGGGAGAAGGTAGTGACCAGGGTTGTACCGAGGTGTTTCAAAACTTCTTAATGATCGATCACAAGACTTCCAGAATCTGCTAAGATGTTTTTAGCTGTTCTAACTTTTCCCTGTAACCTCTATGAAGGAGGATTCAGGGGTGTAGAGGGAAGGGAGTAAGTAAGCCTCAGGGAACCAAAAAGCACCTGCAGTTTTCCCAATTCCTAGTGCCAAGAGAATTGATAGAATTGGGCACATGCTTCCTGATAGGGTGTCTGTCCTTGTCCTCTGCTGCAGAAGGTGTACCCAGGTCCATGGCCTCAAACCAAACCAGTGGACTGAGAATCTGAGAGCATCAGACTGAGTGTGAGACAGCCTTGTAACTGTCTGTCCAAAAAGCACCTCCAAGCCTTCCTAGGTGACTGGAGAATGACCCCAACTGCATGGCAAGAAAGAAGTGGGGGGAGGCTTACATACCTTCTGGTCTTGGCTGGAGAAGAACTGCTTAACTTGGAGTTAAGCAGCTTCCCCATACAGGCCACCAAAATGTTGAGGTTTAGGGGTGCTGGGACCCCAAAATCACAATCCGTGGTCCTGCGTAAAAGAATTCCACCCAAGCCTTCTTTCATCCAGAGACAAAGTTTATTAAAGATCCACCATACTGGCCAGACTCTTAAGGAATCTGAACATTTGTGAGCTATTGGCTAGGTTCTTAAGGAATCTGAGCAGTGGACAGATTTTAAGAATTTGAGCCTATTGACATGTTTACCAGTGATTTGGACAAAAGCATTTTTTTTTAGAAAAGAATAAGCATTAATTAACTGATTGATTTTTATCTTTATAGACCTAAACTATGCTGAAAGTTGCCTAGAATAAGAAAACCAATTAGTTTGTTGATTGCCAAAAAGCATGTGACCTTCTTACATATATAAGATCCTTTCTTCTCTTTTATCCCTCCTCTCTTTCTCTCTGTCTATCCTTATCTTTAGATTCATAAATTATTCATCAAATATTTATTAAGCATCTAATTTACTTTTTCAATTCCAGATCTGCTACTGAGTGTAAACACTCAATATATACTTAGCTGATTGATATATTCAGAATTTTCTAACCTAATTTTCCATTCAGTCCCTTGAAGAAAATGACTATTTCTCTACTCAGACAAGTAGCAGGAGGTGACTTGAGATAAGAAGACAGTGATATACAGTAGTAATATTATGTTTACCTGTAGGGGCCACAAGATGTATTTAATATCTCCACTGAGACCGGTTTTGGAGTACAATTCGGCATCACCCCCAGTGGTGAATGAAACGAGGGCTAATTTGTTCTGGAATTGCATACAAGAAAAAAATATGAAAAACTGATTTTTCAAAAACATAGACATAGTAATAGAAATACTAGCAGCAATTCAAGCTAAGAAGTGTGTCATATTGGCTTTCTAAATTTTAGTTGGTTTGAGATCTTCTTCCCACCCCTTGGCTTCCAAGAAGAAAAAGGATAAAATGAAAATTCTACCATCAAGGATATTTTCTTTAGAGAGAACCAGCAGTAGAAGCTGTGATGACAGCCCATGCCAGGTACGTGTAATAATACAGAAAGGGGAAGTTCGAGCTCAAATCACTTCAATAAAACTATGACTATGACATTCAAAACTCCAATATACATACAGGCAGTGGTGTGCTGGTAAGTATTTAACAACCAGCTCTCTGGGACAAAATGTACCCAACAACATACTTTTTTTTTTTGATGAAGCAACTGGGGTTAAATGACTTGCCTAGGGTCACACAGCTGGTAAGTGTCAAGTGTCTGAGGCTGGGTTTGAACTCAGATCTTCCTGACTCCAGGGCTGGTGCTACCAACAACATACTTTTAAATTCAATTTTCATTATTAACATTTTCTTCATCACTTTTGAGTCTAGATCAGTGGTGGGGAACCTGCAGCCTCTAGGTCCTTGGGTGCAGCCTTTTGACTAAGTCCAAGTTTTACAGAACAAATCTTTTTATTAAGGGGATTTGTTTTGTGAAGTTTAGATTTAGTCAAAGGGCCACACTTGAAGACCAAAAGGGCTACATGTGACCTTGAAGCCACCTGGGGTCTAGACAATCAACAAAATCATAAATCATGCTCTGATTTGTAGTGTTTGCCGATTTCTGTGATGTAAATGCTGATTGTGAAAATTTAACAACCAGCTCTTTCAAGCCAGTAGGAGCTGACTTCAGCACACCTCTGCCTACAGGTACACATAAATATATTGCCTCTCCATACCAACACAAAGCAATGATAGAATGTGAAGAAATTCTATGACAAGTGCCCAGGCACAGAGGGTTCAGTGTATCTGATTAAAATTGACAATGAGGGGGCAGCTAGGGGGGCAGTGGATAGAGCAGCGGCCCTGGATTCAGGAGGACCTGAGTTCAAATCCGACCTAAGACACATAACATTTACTAGCTGTGTGACCCTGGGCAAGTCACTTAACCCCACTGCCTAGCCAAAAATAAATCAATAAATCAATAAATGAATGATTTTGACATGAGGCTTGGTATAGTTTCTTCTCTATAGAAATTTCAAGGGCTTTTATAATGAAACACAATTCAACTAATTGAAGTAAATAGATTTATTTTGATGGCAGAACTTTATTAAATATTCAGAGTATCACCCTCATTCTTTTTGGTGTTATAGAGCTTTCTGGTATGTGTAAGTAATGTGTATATCTGTATGTTTATGTAGTGTGTATGTGTATGTGGTATGTATAAGTGGTATGTATATGGTACATGTTTGTGTATAAGTTGTGTGTATGTGGTGCACATATATGTAAATGATGTGTGTGGGATGTGTGTATGTGTAGTGGGTATAGTATTTGTGTAGGTGAATACATATATTTGTGATGCATACGTATATATGTGCTATGTGTGTGACACGTATGTGCATGTAGTATTTATGTGTATCCGCATGTGCATGTGGTGTTTGTGTGTGTATATGTGGTATATATGTGTGCAGCATGTTTGTGTGTCTGACTATACTGGATATGTAATTTAGATGAAAGACTGATAGGAAAATGCCACCCTCTCTGGCCTTTGGACTGACTTCCCACACTCCTGAAGCCTCCAAAAGTGACTCAGGGCTGCCCGGCCAGCCACTCTCTCTCAGCCATCTCCAGCTGGAGGGGGAGTCCCTTGAAGGCAGGCGCCCTCCCCAGGCAATGACTTTATAGGTTTTTCATTTCCTTTGTTGAGATCTGTGACTTCACTCCTGTAGGGCCTCCACCTACCGATGCACACTGGCTCTCACTCTGCCACTCCTGGTCTTGGGGAGTTGACTAGGGCCCTATGAGTTTAAGTGATGTGCTGGCTGGGTTCCTGCGGCCAGTGAGTATTAGAGCTGTGCCTTCTAGACTTAGTGCTTCCCAACTCTCAGGCTAGCTCTCTACCTGCTGTCTCTTTTGTAGAAATTTTGCATCTCCTTCTCTGTGGGCATGCCATTGCCCTCACCTCCTCCCAGTAGACTGTGAACTCCTTGAGAGCAGGGGCTGTTGGCACAGATGGCACATTAGACCACCATCAAAACAGCTCTGTGGACAACTTTCCAGAATTTCAAGACTATTTCACAGGCCCCCTCTTTACAACTTTACAACTCCAGAATGTACTTCTGTGTCAAATGAGATATGGGTGTCTTACCTCAAGACCTGAACGAGGCTTTCTTTTTTCTTAGAGTAGAAGAAAAATTTTAATTAATTCAATTCAACAAATTTAATTAAACAAACATGAATCAAGTTCCTACTGTGTTCAATCTAGGAGCAGAAGGAGGTAAAGTAGGTAAGTCACAGGAGGATTGCTGAGGAGTTATATGTTACTAAGTCGGGTCTTAAGAAAAGAGGCAAAACAAAGAGATGAAAGAAAGAGCCAGCAGACCTGGGTTCAAGTGATGACTCTGATACACATGGACTGTGTGAGCCTGGGTAGGTCTCTTAACCTCACTTGGCAACTCTTTAAGACTCTAACTTTAAGGGCACCTAGGTGGTGCAGTGGATAGAGCACTGGCCCTGAAGTCAGGATGGACCTAAGTTCAAATCCAGCCTCAGACCAAATACTTGACACTTACTAGTTATATGACCCTGGTCAAGTCACTTAACCCCAACTGCCTTAAAAAAAAATTTTAAAAGACTCTAAGTTTCAAAGAAGATGCTGATCTGCTTTGGTAGAAGGAGTCTTCTTATAGGGAGGTCCCAGTTCCAATGAATTCCCAGTTTCAGTGTGAAAAAGAGAAGTTATTGTAAGCTCTTTGAGGGCAGGGCTTATCTTTTGCCTCTTCTTCTTTCCCCAGTACTTAGAAAGAGTGCTTGGCAATTTATGATAAATGTTAATGATTGATTGATTTGGAATTTATATTTATTACACACCTGTTTATCTACTATTCTGTTCTAATTATGTCATTGTGTCTTAGCATGGACAACTAGGAAGACCTGAGTTCAAATCCTGCCTTATTCAAGTTCTTGCTGTATGACCCTGGGCAAATCACTTGACTTTTCCCAGCCTCAGTTTCCTCTTTTGTAAATAAGGATTTATAAAATAGCACCTACCTCACAGGGTTTAGTGATCATCAAATAAGATGACATATGTCGAGTGCTATATAAATACTACATATATTATTATGATTATCATTAGTCAGTCAAATCATTGACGGGAAACTTGGTCCAACATGTTAGATCATGAATAGGTGACCTTTCAACAAGTTATACAGGCTTAGTCTTCACTTATTCACTCTCATTTATGGTGGTATGTTCCAGTAATACATTTTAAAGTCTGTATTTTAAATTGTCAAAACTCTTCCTCGTTAGTGGGGGTGAAGTGGGGACAGTTGTCCTTCAAGAGTAGGGGTGGGGAATGTTTAGGGCTCACTATATTCTATTATATGAGGCAGCCCCTGAACTTGAAACTGGATCAGATGAGGGTGGGTCAACTCCACTGACCCAGCTGATCCTAACTACCATCAGAGGTCCTTGGGGACAGAGCTGCAGTAAGAAAGGAGCCTCAGGGTAGGTGATGTTCCATTCCGGAGGTCGGAAGCCAGTCTGGGTATAGGGAGGGAAGGAGCCTAGTTAGAGTCCAGCTGGCATTTGTGTCCAGTTCTGGGGACCTTTTGAGGGGGCACCCAGAGAAAGGAGTGACTTAGAATGTACAGAGAGAAAAGCTGGGTCTTTGGAGACTGGAAAGAATGAGTAAATAATGAATGGGGAGAGGATCCAGTGAGCATGTCCAGGAGAGAGTGGTCACGATGACCAGTAGATGAATTCTATAGCAACTGTAGATGGGGGAGTTCTACCAACATGGCGAGGAGGGGAGTAGAGACAGTGGCTTGGGTCCTCACTTTCCTCCTCCCTTCATGAATGAGATGATCAGCAGAGTAAGAGGAGGGGTGAGAAGCTGTCAGATTTTTGTCTCCTAAAACTTTCTGAGCTCCGTCTAGTCTACTTTGGGAAGAGCACCTAGTGGAGAAAGGGTGACTGAAGGATGGTGACAGTTCATTAGAAAAAAAAAACTTTCTTTGTGGTGGTAAAGAATTGGAAATTGCAGGGATGCCCATCAGTTGGGGAATAGCTGAACGAGTTTTGGTATATGGTTGTGATGGAATCCTACTGTGCTATAAGAAATGAAAGCTCAATGCTCTTAGGCATAGAAAGACTTGTATGAAATGGTGAAGAGCTAAGTGAACAGAAACAAGAGAACACTGTCTACAGAAACAGCAGTATTGCCTGATGAATGACTTTTTGAGTGAATAAGTCATTTTGGCTATTTTGAGTACACAAATTAAAAATAAAGGATATATGAACAAAGATGCTATCTGCATCTAGAGAAAGAACTGATAAAATATGTATAGGTTAATTTTGCATATATATATATATATTTAAACACACACACCTATTTGTGTCTCATGGTAGCCATTTCTAGGGCGGAGTGGGGGGAGGGAAGAAAAAAAAGGAAAAAATTTACAAGATAACTTTATTATATATTTGAAAGGAATAGCAAGTTCTACATAATAGATGTGCAGCTTCATGGGCAATTATCTTTTTTATTATACTATGTTATGGAAATGCTTGTTTTATTCAATAAATTAAGACAAAGATAATTTTTTTTAAGTAAAAAAAAAGAGACCTAGGGCACGTCTTCAAGAACCTTAGCAATAAAAGGGAGAAGAGATGTGGGAATGTAGTTCAAGGTGGAGGGGAGGGAGAGGTCTTCCCCTTTTGAAACAGGAGGGAAGGAGAGGTTAATGAAGACTGAGAATAGTTTTGATGTGTAGAAACAGGTAATTCAGGGAATTCGTGTTATACGATTTCAATCTTTTCAGTCAGGTAAAACCCTTTAGGACGGTGGTGAAATAAAAAAAAAAAAAGGATTACCAAGCAACAGAGAGGGCCCAGTGATAAAAATAACAGGCCTTTGGTTGAAAAATCATATGTAGAAACCTATAGTGTCAGGCCTTGCTTCAAGGGATTGCGACGATAGCATATTCCACTGAACTTACCTGGAGGAAGCCTCTATCAAAGCATTCTGGAAAATCAAAAGCAAATCCTTGGCAAAGGACTCTGTCCATCCAGCCTTTCATGATGGCGGGCACGCTGAACCAGTACAAGGGAAACTGAGGAAAGGGAAGAGGAAGACCTTCAGTCACAAGACAGAAATAAACACTTCAACTTAGTAGGAAATTTGTACATGGCTCATTATTTTATTCTTTAAAATATATTTTTATTTATTTCATTAACTATTTCCCAATTACATGTAAAAATTTTTTTTAACATTTATTTTTAAAATTTGAGTTGCAAATTCTCTCCCTTCCGCTCCTTCCCTCCCCTTTGAGAAGGCAAGAAATATGATATCGATTATATGTGTGAAGTTATACAAAACATATTTCTATATTAGTCATGTTGCAAAAGAAAACACACACACAAGCTAAGAAAAATAAAGTAAAAAAAAGTAGGCTTCAACCTGAATTAGTGGGTATGGCCCTGATAGAGAGGAAAGAGGGCCGGGGAGTGGGAGTATGGGCAGGAGTTTTAGGTCTCATTTTTATAGGTTTTTGGGGAAAACAGACCAACGCTTATCTGTGTCGCCTTGTTCATTAACATATCAAAATCATCTCAAAGTTATTGGTAAAACTTCAAAGTCATCGTCCCAAAGTTATCAGTATCTTTTTGATAGTCTGCTGATCTGGAGCTGTGAATGTCTGGATTTTGTCTAGAATTTACATTTCACAGGACCAGAATTTTGACAAGAAGTGCCTAGATAGTTTCCCTTTATTTGGCACATGTTAATCAGGATGTGAATTTTAGTTAATAGATGAAACAATTCGTAAATTATTCTCTTTTGATATTTGGGACAGTTTGTATATGACTTCAGGATCCCCTTTGCAATCTTATTTCCTGTTAAGAGGTACTTACTATACTGATTAGAGGTGGTCAAGGGGACTAGAATAAGATACGATTGAACATATGGATTTTGGAGAAGCATTACAAACAGGCTGTCCTTAAACACTAATGCAACAGCGCTCCACAGTATCCACAAGAGGGAAGTACTTCTACATGCCTTTCCAGGCCCAGGCCCCTCCTTTGCCTTTAATACAAGCAAGGCTTGCTGGGGAGTTTTGGTGTCCAACTCTGACTCAGTTATTGTAGTCAGCAAACGGGTTGATGAATTTCTGTCTTTTCTGTCAAGGTTACAATCATAGCACATAAGTCTGCGTCTCTTGTCCTAAGAGCATTACTGTAATTTGTTTTAAATGAGCTAAAGAATGTGGGGCTTCCCAATTAATAAGATCAAGGGATATGAATGGGCAGTTTTCTAAAAATTTTTTTCCAATTACATGTAAAAATTCCTAACAATTGTTTTTTTTAAAAAATTCCGAGTTCCAAATTCTCTTCCTCCCTCCCTCCTCTCCCCTTTCCCTGAGAAGAAAAGAAATTTGATATAGATCACACATGTGCAGTCATGCAAAACATATTTCCATATTAGTCGTGTTGTGAAAGAAAACACAGACCAAAAGAAAAAAGTAAGAAAAATAAAGAAAGTGAAAAAAGTATACTTTGATCTCCATTCAGACTCCATCAATTCTTTCTCTGGAGGTAGATAGCATTTTTCATCCTAAGTCCTTCAGAACTGTCTTGGATCACTGTATTGCTGAGAATAGCTAAGTCATTCATAGCTGATCATTGTATAATATTTCTGTTACTGTGCACAATGTTCTCCTGGTCCTGTTCACTTCACTTTGCATCAGTTCATGTAAGTTTTTCCAGGTTTTTTTGAAAGCATCCTGCTCATCATTTCTTATAGCACAACAGTACTACATCCCAATCACAACCACAACTTATTCAGCCATTTCCCAATTGACAGACATCCCCTCAATTTCCAATTCTTTGCCACCACTAAAAGAGCTGCTATAAATATTTTTGTACATACATATCCTTCTGCTTTTTCTTGGATCTCTTTGGGATACTGACCTAGTAGTAGTATTTCTGGTCAAAAGGTATGGCTGTGCAGTTTTATAGCCCTTTGGGCATAGTTCCAAATTGCTCTCCAGAATGGTTGAATAAGTTTACAACTCTACCAGAAGTGCATTAATGTCCCAATTTTCCTACTTCCCCTCCAACATTTGTCATTTTCCTTTTCTATCATGTTAGCCAATCTGGTAGGAGTGAGGGGGTACCTCAGAGTTGTTTTTATTTGCATTTTTCTATTCAATAGTGATTCAGACCATTTTTTTTTCATAGACAGCTTGGATTTCATCCTCTGAAAACTGTAAGGAAGATATCCAAGCTATCAATAAAAGCTTGGAAAAAAAATGATCCAAATCACTACTAGAGAAAAAGTTCCACTTCACATCCCTCAGAATGGCAAAGCTGACAGAAAAAGGAAATGGGAAAAGGCAGAGGATCTATAGGGAAAAAAAAGGCACATTAATGCATTATTTATAGAACTATAAATTGGTTCAGATATTCTGGGAAACAATTTGGGACTATGTCCCCAAAGTGACCCAGTCTGACACACAAGTCTATACCCCAAAGATATCAAATAAAGAGGAAAAGGATCCATATATACAAGTAGATTTATTTTTGTGAATTTTTGTAAAATTTTGTAGAATTTTGTAAAATTTGTAAAATTCTTTTTGTGATGGCAAAGAATTAGAGACTATGGGGGTATCCATCAATTGGGGCACACCTGAACAAATTATAGTATATGAATGTGATGGAATACTATTGTGCTGTAAGAAAAAGGATTACTTCAGAGAAAACATGTCTGAACTGATGCAGGGTAAACAGAACAGAACCAGGAGAACAATTTCTATAATAACAACACCCTAACCATAACTTAGAAAGACTTAAGAACTCTGATCGATGCAATGACTAACCAGGACTCTAAGGAATGATGAGGGAAGCATGTTAGCCACCTCCTAGCAGAGAAGGGACCGACCCAGGGTGCAGATGGAAACATATTTTTTGAACATGCAGGAGTCGATTTTGTTTGACTTATGTACATTTGTGACAAGGGATTTGTTTTTCTTTGTCTTTTTCAACAAGGTAAAATGAGGTGGGAGGAAGAGAAAATAAGATTTTTATTTGTTAAAAAATAAAATTTAAAAAGTAAAACATGTCGGTTCAGGATTCTGGGAAGCAGCGATTAGTGTGTTAGGGAACCTGTGCAAAGTGATAAGGAGAACTGAGGCAGCTAAAGTTAGGGATGGGCTGTGGTCCAATGTGGAAAGAGCACTGATGTCAGAGGACCCTGCTGCCAGAGTACTCTCTGGGCATAATTTCATTGGATTGTGGAGTTTAGAGCAGGAAGGAACAGCCCCCTCATTAGTCAATAGTCTATAAACATTTATCAAATACCTACTACCTAAGTGTTAGGGATACAAATAAGAAAAAAACAAAACACAGACCCTGCCTTCAAGGAGCTTACAATCAAAGGGCTAAAGACAGTTCACAAAAGGAGGCTGAAAGGGGGAGAGGAGTGAAAGAAACTGAGGCAAGTGCCTTGCCCAAGGTCACACAACTAGCATGAGGTGGGATTTGAAATCAGATCACTTAGTGCCCTATCCACCACACTGTATTACGTTGTTTCTTCAACTAGAAAATGATGGCATTTGACTAGAAGACCCCTTTCTGTCTCTAATGCTATAGCTCAGGAAGACTTGCTCAACTGTGTGGCTATTTTCAGTGAAAACATTTTTCAAACTCAATTGTCCAGATAGACTTTTATTTGTTATTATTCAGTTGTTTTTCAGTTGTGTCCAACTCTTTGTGACCCCATTTGGGGTTTCTTGGTAGAAATAATAGAGTGCTTTGCCATTTCCTTCTCTAGTTCATTATACAAATGAGGAAACTAAGGCAAACAGGGTGAAGTGACTTGTCCAGGATCACACAAGACAGTTAAGTGTTTGAGGCTGGATTTGAACTCAGGTCCTCCTGAATTCAGGGCCGGTGCTCTATCCACTGCACCACCTAGCTGCCCCTGGGACAGTGCATTTTTAAGAAGGAGAGGTTAATTAAGGTTGAGACTTTTCATTAACATTTTGCCTTGGTCCCAGAATTTAAGCTTGTGATGTTGACTACCCCAACTCAATTTACCTTCAAAGACATAGTCTTTGAGGCAGTGACTTCCTAAGTGGTGCCCTAATTTCTGGCATGAACCCACACCTTGTTTTATGGGTGACTGGGCCAGTGAAATTTCTAATACCAAGAAATATTACCTAGAAGTAAACTATTCACTGGGAGAATCCAACTCAACATATTTTATCAAAGGAAACACTCACCTGAAATATGATTAAATCAGCTTCTTGTACCTTCTTTTGCTCTTCAATCACATCACTAGACAGAATCCCCTTCTTATATGCCACATGTGCTTCTGTGCCATAATTGAAAAAGTCTGAGTTATTCAAAGGACCTGCAGAGGAAGACACCAAATTTAGTTATTCAAAGAAATCTAGTTCCAATGATTTCCCACCAACAGACCACAGACCTTCCATAACAGACTGGAATTTAACATCCTACCCCTTGGAGAGAAGTCTGATGGGGTGCAAAATTAACAGTATTAGGGTGAGTACAAAGATCATTTATTGTGGCCATGTCTTCTAATCTGGTATTAATCCTTGAGAGTTAAGGACTCATAGCAATGGCTTGCCTTGAGTAGTAAGACCTAACTAAGGATTGGCTGGCAATCATAATCTGAAATTTAAGGGTCCTTGAGGGAAAGAATAGTGTTTTTGCTGTTTTTTGAATCTCAGGGCTTAGCACAATGCCTGGCACACAGTAAGTGCTTAACAAATGTGTTCATTGGGGCAGCTAGGTGGCGCAGTGGATAGAGCACCGGCCCTGAAGTCAGGAGGGCCTGAGTTCAAATCTGACCTCAGACCAAACACTCAACACTTACTAGCTGTGTGACCCTGGGCAAGTCACTTAACCCCAATTGACTTAAAAATAAATGAATGAATGAATGAATGAATAAATAAATAAATGTGTTCATTGGCTGATTAATAGTTTCCTCATTTGCAATATGAGGTAGTAACAGGGCTGCTATCTAAATCAGAGGTATTGAACTCATGGGACAGCTAGGTGGCTCAGTGGATAGAGTGCTGGATGTGAAGTCAAGAAGACTCATCTTAGACACTAACTATGTGACTCTGGGCACGTCACTTAACTGTAAAATAAGCTAGAGAAGGAAATGGCAAACTGCTTTAGTATCTTTGCCAAGCAAATCCCAAATGGGATCCACAAAGAGTCAGATACGACTGAACAGCAACAAAATCTAACTTATAGCCTAACGAGCAGGAAGCTGGCAGAACCAGATTAAAATGTAATTCAGAAATGTTTAACATTAAAAAAAATACAATACAACAGGGATAACTTGTGGTTTGCTAAGTCAATAAGTATCAGGCAAGGATCTATTTCTATTTGAGTTTGACACCTCCAATCTAAGTCACAGAAATGTTTTGAGTAAAGCGCTATTCCTCTTCAGATGTAAGCTATTATACTATCGATTCAGTCCCTGATATGAGACAAGGCAGATCAAATGACTAACATGAACTTATAGGGAAACCCCTGAAAATAATTATTAAAGGCTGGCATCTCCTCTGACTAGGGCAAGGATTTAGAAACATGGTTTGGTAAAGCCTTTGAATCCCTTCTCCAAATGAGGTTTTTAAACGCATTAAATAAAAGTACATAGGATTACAAAGAAAACCAATTATGTAGACATGCAATTATCAAATATATATAACTATATGTTATTTATGACATAAATAATATAAAAATAGTTGTATACATATATAATAAACTATATGCTATAATATAGAAACACTTATATATAATGTAATTGATAATGGTATATTAATATATGAATGAGTATATAAATTTAAATAAACATATATTGATAATATATCATCTCTCTCTCTCTCTCTCACAACTGAACAACCACTACCGAAGAGGTGAAGACTCCTCCCACCTCTGGGCAATACGTGGAGGGCTACATCAGCTGCATAACTTACCTGTTCCCTAAGCCATTAACTAACTTTACTTTTCAGGGCTGGTGCTCCTGGAACCTGATTAGATCCTTACAACTTAAATCCTATCCCTTCAATCAGAGAGAATTTTGGGAGCACTTTATAACCCACTACCCTTCTTCCAATGCCTGGCATTCACCAGGGACATCAATCTACATGGCTACCTTTGGATATGTAGAGAGAAACAAAACTACCACCTTAAAAAGGTAAGTTATGTGTTGATTGATCCAATGACTCACCTGTAAAATCTTTCTTTGTGGCCCTGGGCTCAAAGTTCATGGCATAGAGATCAGACACAGTGACCTGGCAGCCCTGACTGCTCAGCTCAGACACTGCTGTATCCTTCAAGGATCCATTCATAGACTTGGGCTCCTGATGCGCATAGACTATGAGGACTCGTTTCCCTGGGTCAGAGAGTGAAAAAAAAAAATCTCCCTTGAGAAATGGTCCGGTTCTTAACAACAGCTATGGGACACAGAGAAAGTGTTCACAAAAGCATCAGATATTGAACCCAAAGTTTTAAAAACACATGTTAAAAAAAATAATTGTTTTCACATACAACTGGGAAATAAGAAATACAGGAAATGGGGTACAGAAATCTATCCTGCCCTACAGGAAAACAGAAGGGGAAAAGGATAAGAGAAGGGGGAGAGAGCTAGAAGGGAGGGCAGATTAGGGGAAGGGATACACAGAATGCCATCTTGGGGTGGGGGGAGGGATGAGATGGGAAGAAAATTTGGAACTCAATCTTGTGGAAGTGAATGTTGAAAATTAAAAATAAATAAAGAAAAATTAAAGAAAAAAACAACCATCAGATACATGAGTAATATATAAAGCAATAAGGCTTTTATTACGGTATATCTTTACTCACTTAAGGGAAGCTTCAAGGCATGAAACAAAACATGCAAGGCTGTTCAGTGATTAGAGCGCTGAACTTGGGAGCCAGGAAAACCTAAGTTCAAATCCTGCCTCAGACACATAATAGCTGAGTGACCCTGGGCAAGTCACTTAACTTCTCTCTGCTTCAGTTTCTTCATCTATAAAATGGTGATAATGACAGCACCTAACTTACAGGGTTGCTGTGAGTTGCTTTTCAAATCTTAAAGTGTTATATAAATGCTGGCTATTATTTAACCAATGGCCTGTCGGTGACAATTTTATCCAGTCACACTCAAAGCACAAAACAAGTACATTAGATCTCCACCGTTACATGGATGATTAACATAAAAAGTTAAAAATACAATGGGTCAAAACCTATCTAAGGTTCATTTTTCTCATCTGGTAAATGTACTGTACTAGATAATTTCTAAGGTGGTACCTTTGACCCTTGACATGGAAATTATGCAAACAAATTAATCTAAGCATTTGTTAAATGCCTACTATGTTTAAGGTGCTATGCTAGGGTCTCGGGATAAAAAGACAAAATGTCTCAAAATATAACTATGTATTATAATAATCTGATATTGTATGTCTAGGGTATAAGCTGGGTTTTAGTCCTATTGTCTAATACCCGGGGGTGGGGTGGGGGGGAGAAAGGGATTCTACAATAATCACTCACCAGTACGTGAAGTTGAGAGTCAGGAGTCATAGAAATAACAGGAATAATAGCTAACATTTATATGACGCCTACTATAGGCTAGGCACTGTTCTAAGTGCTTTACAATCATCTCGATTTAGCCTTATAACAACCTGGGAAGTAGGTGCCATTATTATTCCCATTATACAGACGGGAGAACTGACACAAACAGAAATTAAGTGACTTGTACAGAATCACACAGCTAATAAGTGTCTGAGGCTGGATTGTGAACTCAAGCCTTCCTGATTCCAAGTCTGATGCTCTATCCACTGCACCACCAAGCTGCCCAAACACAGAAGCTGAGAGTTCGAGACTAATCCATATGGGAAGAGAATCCCTATTCTACTCTACCAGACAAATGGTCATACAGCCTTTGTTTGAAGACCTCCAAGGAAGGGGAATCCACCACCTCTTGGGCTTTTATTCTACTTTTGGAGAGCTCTAACTGGGCGTGGGTACGTATATTTTATATACATGTATGATACATATAACATATAAAACACACACTTAGAACATATGCATATATGCATGTGTGTGCATGCATGTATGTGTATGTATACATATTATATATACACACATATATAATATATATATCTTGTTATATATACTGTTTTAGGAAGGGATATGTATATATAGATAGATGTGTATATATATATATATAGTATATATAGTATGTATATATAGATAGATGGATAGTTAGATATGTGTGTGTGTATATATACACACATATGTATATGCATAAACCCTCACACCTTCCTAACAAGTCTAAACTTTCTTGCATTTTCTGCAAGCGCTTCTGGTTCTATTTTCTGGGGCCAAACATGACAGCCCTTCAAAGGAACAGAAAGGGGGGGAAAGCTCTTCTTTAGCACCTGCTACGTGCCAACCATTGTGCTAAGCACTAATATTATCTTATTTCATTCTTGCAATAACCCTGGGAGGTAGGTGCCATTATGGTCCCTGTTTTATAGTGGAGGATTCCAGGGTTAAACAATTTGCCCAGAGTCACATGGTTAAGTGTCTGAGGCTGCATTTGAACTCGGGTCTAACTGACTTCAGACCTATTGCGCCACCTAGTTGCCCTGCCCTTGGCAGGGTCCTTCTCCATTTCTATCTCTTCTTCACCAGACTTGGATTCTGACCCTGAAGACGCTGTGGGCTCTGATCACTGAGATTATCCAGGCCTCCTCTGCTTTCTGGTCATCCCCACTCTATGCTGGGTACACCTCTAAGTGTGCCCTCCCCTTTCCCCTTTATGTGTGGTCTCCCCAGCCAACCCCTCCCCCCTTTAGGATGTTCAGATCTCCTTAAGGACAGGGATCTAGTATTTGTACTACTATTTGTAACCCCAGCACTGAGCACAGTGCCGGGCACAGTAAGTACTTAACAAATACTTCACATATTCATCTGCATCATAACCAATTAAATAATAATACCATTTTTATGCTACTTTAAAGCTTAGAGAAATTATCTCACAATAGCCCTGACAAAATAGGGGGTATTCTTTGCCCCATTTCACACAAAAGAAAATTGAGGCTTCAGAGAGGTTATAATTATCACTATTCCTGTTAGCTGACATTTATATGGGCTTTAAAGTTTGCAAAGCTCTTCAGGGATATTATATCATTTGATTCTGTTGAGGCAGGTGCTCTTATTATCATCCATGTGGACAGTGAAGTTAAAAAATTTCCCTTTTCTAGAAAGTGGGTTAAGAGAGTTTTCTAGGGCCATACTGCTTATAAGGGTTAGATAAGATTTTAACCCAGGGCTTTCTTCCCCATCCCAAGTTCACTGCTCATTCCAGTACACCAAGCCGCAAAGGGCCCAAGGACTGGGAGGTTCAGCTGGGTTCTGCAGAGCCACAGCTTAGAACATCCTTCGGACATCCACGGGAGAGTTGGTTTTGGCCCATGGGGTGCTCTTCTCAGAAATCCTTATCCAATTATCCTTTCCCACAAAAGGATGAAGTAGCTGGGTAATGTGGGATTCTCTACACCTCCAAGCAGCCTGTGGTATAGGGAGTGATTATCAGAGGATGACTGCTTAAGTTAGAGCCAGGGGTTCCTGAGGCTAAAATATTAAACTCCCAGTTTTCTGGTTTGGGGCTGAACTCTGATGAGAACACACACAATTAAGCTGCTTCAGGCCACAGAGCATATATTTATGAGGAGGGGAGGAGAGGGGAGGAAAAATAAGAGTTATTCTAATTCCTAATATTTTTCACCTTAACTCTGAAAAAAAGGCACCTCTTCTTACCTGCCATTGCCTGGGGTAGAGGATCCTCCATCGACATCGATGTCGTCCCACTCATGGTACAGAAAAGGACCCTTGCAAACGGTTACAGGTCAGGCTGAGGATGCCCTGCCCACACCTTCACCCTGCACGATTTTGAGGAAGATAATGGCCTGGAAGGGGAGAAAAAAGGGGGGGAGGAGCATGTACTCATGGAGAAGGAACCAATAGCAGTGGAGGATGAGGATAAGGAAATGCTCCTCAAGTGATACAATGTGGCTGGTGGGTTGCTGGCGCTGGGAGATGCGGGTCCTGGGAGAACTTTTAGGAGATGGAGGGGGGAAGGGGGAGAGAAGGGGGAGAGAGAGAAGAGAGGGGGAGAGAGAGAGAGAGAGAGAAAAAGAGAGAGAGAGAGAGAGAGAGAGAGAGAGAGAGAGAGAGACAAGAAGAGAGAGAATGAAGAGAGAAGAAAGAGGAGAGAGAAGAAAGAAAGAAGAGAGAGAAAGAGAGACAAGAAAGAAGAGAGAGAGAGAAGAGAGAGGAAAGAAAGGAGAGAGAAGAAAGAAGAGAGAGAATGAAGACACAGAGAGAGAAGAGAGAGGAGAGAGAAGAGAGAAAGAAGGGAGAGAAGAAAGAGAGACAAAGAAGAGAGAGAAGAGAGAGGAAAGAGAAAGGAGAGAGGAGAGAGAAGAAAGGAGAGAGAGAAGAGAGAGGAGAGAGAAGAGAGAAAGAAGGGAGAGAAGAAAGAAAGAGAGACAAGAAAGAAGAGAGACAAAGAAGAGAGAGAGGAGAAAGGAGAGAGAGAGAAGAAAGAGAGGAAAGAGAAGAGAAAGAGAGAGAGGAGGGAGAGAGAGAGAGAGAGAGAGAGAGAGGAGGGGGAGGAAGGGACAGAGAGAGAGAGAGAGAGAGAGAGAGAAAGAGAGAGACAGCAGGAGAATTTCCTCACCCCCCCCCCCAGGGTGTCTAAAAGCTTCCAAATTGAGCAATTAAGCGGCTAACAAGGCCTCCTTGACTCTACATAGGGTGAGAGTAGAGATAAGGGCGGGTGACTCCTCCTCTCTGAGTTCACGGGGATCATCAGATCTCATATTTCGATCAAGAAGTGACCTCAGAGACCATCTGATCCTCCCATTCTGTAGATAAGGAAATCAAGGCCCAGAAAAGGAAAGTGAATTGTATGAGATCACAGGTAGAAAACAGCAAATGTGGGATTTGAACCCAGATCTCTCGATTCCAATCTAGAGATCTTTCCACAGTATTGAAATCATGGACCCTTGCTGAATAATCAAGACAAAGCCTTAAAGCAAAACAATACAAAACAGGGCTTTAAAAATTAAAAGGAAAAAAGTAGCTAATCCATTGTATGTTTTGGGGTGTTTGAATGACTAGCAGCCTAACCTAAGACCAAGCCTTTGGAGCTCTGATGACCTTGGAGCCAAGATTTCAGCCAGCCCAGAAGAAAGCTGGGAGAAACCAGGGGACTGGGACCCAAGCCTAAGGGGGACGCTGGACTTGGAATTTATGACTGTGCTCTATAGAAATAAGCTAAACTGTGAACCTAATCCCCTTCCTCTCCTCACTGCCTGTGGTAGTGTAAGGAAGGAGAGGGATTATACTTCCCAAGTGTTGGGGGGAGGCATTTGTGCATTTATGATTATGTCCTTCGAAGTAAATATTTCTTTATAAAAGCTAAAAATACATAAACAAAAACCATAGATGAACAAATAAGTGGATGGATAGATAGATAGACAGACAAACAGACAGAGGCTTACTGAATCAAATGGAAGGATGGGAGAAGCCACAAGATGAAGAACTGAAAACTGAAGCTTAAGAAGGCCCAGTAAAAACAGAGTCAGTCAGTGAACAAGCTTTTTATTAAGTGTGTCCTGTGTGCCAGGCATTGTGCTAACTGTCGGGGATACAACGAAAAACAAAAACAGGCCCCTGCCCTTGAGGAGCTCATATTTTAACCAATGAGACAAACTTGAAAATAACTAGGTACCTGTAAGTAATCCAGGGGCAGCTAGGTGGCGCCATAGTGCAGAGAGAGCTGAGCCTGGAATCAGAAAGCTCTGAGTTCAAATGTGACCTCACACACTTACTAGCTGTGTGACCCTAGGTAAGTCACTTCACCCATTTGCCTCTGTTTCTCATCTGTAAAGTGAGCTGGAGAAGGAAAGGGCAAACCACTCCAATATCTTTGCCAAGAAAATCCAAATGGGGTCATAAAGAGTCAGACATGACTGAACAACACTGAAGGAAAAGACACCACAAAAGGTAGGAGGTGTGATTTGTGCTGAGGTTTAAAGAAAGCCAGCTAAACTACCCCATGGAGGTGAGAAGAAAGCACTGGAGGCCTGGAGGAGAGCCAGTGCCCAGGAATAAGGACAGAGATAGAGGGTCATATGCAAGAGACGGTAGGTCGGCCACTATAGTTAGATCATAGGGTATGGAGGGGTGTGTGTGTGTGTGTGTGTGTGTGTGTGTGTGTACATATATATACACATATATACATACATATAAACACACACAAATATATGTATATACTGATTCTGTGGCTAATTAGTTCAGTGGGTTAGCATAGTGTTACAGGGATCGTGACCATGAGATCAAAGTGATTTCATTTTTATGGGCCTCTATTTCCTCATCTGTAAAATGAAAGGATTGGCCTCTTTATCGTCTAAAGTCCTTTCCCACCGTAATATTTTACAAATCTGTGAACCCCATATGGTCAACTTTCTTTTGTTCCCCAGACAGAATGTATACCCCATTTCTCTCCTTCATAAGCAATCTCAAAAAATAACTGATCACGAATGGCTGAACAAATTTTGACGTAGGAATGTAAAAGAATACTATTGCACTATAAGAAATGGCGAAGGGGACCGTTTCAGAGAAACCTAGGAGGACTTGTGTGACCTGATGCAAACTGAAGGGGGCAGAACCAGGAGAACAATTTATACAATAATAAAGACAATCACATTTTGATAGACATAAGAATTCTGCCAATGCAATGACCCAGAGGACTGAGGCTCCCCTTATTTCTGATGGGGTTCCTCTGAGATTTTCTTCAGTTTGTCTTAGATATCTATCTTATCTGTACATAGTTGTTTGTATGATATCTTTCCCTTTATATAATAAGGTCCTTGAGGGCAGAAACCGATCTTTGTCTTTCTTTGTTATCTCCAGTGTTTGTAGAATGCCTGGCATAAAGTAAATACTGAATAAACTTGGATCGATTTGGCTTGACTTGATGGATTGAATGATCGATCATGTCTCTTGAAACTCTAAATTAATAAGGATCATAATTACTATACAGAAACCAATCCTTCCCCTACTGGAAAAATAACTCAAGGCCCATGCCCTCTAGAATGTAAGTCTGAATCATCATCTTCATTTATGAAATTCAGCATCTAACTCATGATATAAAAATTAGGCTTTTTTAGGAGAAGGTTGGGGAAGGTCATGTAAAAACAAAAGATACCAATAAAAATTAAAACAAAAAAATTAACACTTTGATAGTTAATCATGAGCTAACACAACCAAATAACTGTCAGAGAATTGGTATGTACAAAGGCATGTAGGATCCTAAGGTCAAGAATTTGAAGTTCTTCACTTCAGGTCTAAAAAACCCCCAAAGGATCCATGGATAGATTTCAAGGAGTCTTTGACCTTATATGGGGAAAAAAATTACATTTAAAAATTCGCATTGCTGTTATTATCCCCATTTTACAGATGAGGAAACTGAGGCAGACAGGTTAAGTGCTATCACCTTTGGTTCAGTGGCAGGAGAAAAGTATTCAATCAGTGCAGCCAAGTATTTGTCGAAGCCTACTTGGCTCTGAACAGTGTAAACTCCTCAATAGCGTAGAATACATTTCATTTTTTTTTTTGTGTATCCTTAGCCCTTGATGAAATGCCTTATGGGTAGGTGGTAAACAGAGCCAGAAAAATAAATATGTACTATGACTACAACAATGTAAAAGAAAAAAAAAACATCACAAGAGAAGTGAAAAAGAGGGGCAGTTAAGCGGTACAGTGGATAAGCACCAGCCCTACAGTCAGGAGGACCTGAGTTCAAATACAGCCTCAGACACTCACTAGCTGTGCCCTGGGGAAGTCATTTAATCCTGATTGCCTCCAAAAAGAGAAAATGAATACTGAAACAAAGGATAGAGATGATCACAGAGGATAAAATGGATGGTGTCAATTACTTAAAGTTAAAAAGATTTTGTTGAAACAAAACCAATGCAGGTTAACAAAGTATTTGAAAAAACAGTTCCCTTTTTTCTTTTTATTTAATTCTGACCTTAACAAACAGGAAATAAAATGGGCACTACCACATATATAACTGAAAAAAGAAATTGTACATGAAACTATACAATCCTTTTTTTTGGTTATATATATTTATAGCTTGCTTTTCTTTTAAATTATATAATCAGTTCATGTTGTAGCTTTCAAAGCTGTCTTGCATGTCCATGCTTCTCTCTGGCCTTCTGTGCTCTTCTCTGCATTTAAGAAAAAAAGACAGAATAGGTAGTTTCTCAATAGAAGATAAAAACCATATGAAAAATTCTCAATCAATAATAATTAGAGAAATGCAAACTAAACTCTGAGATTCCAGCTCATAACCACTAGTGATGATAATGATGTGAAGTCGTGTGGTGAAGATGGTAAAGATTGGAGAAGATGTCAAAAAAGGAAAATGACAATTGTTGGAGGGGCTGACGGAAAGCAGGCACACCAGTGCACTGTTGGTTGACCTGGGAATAGTTCTAACCATTGTGGAAGGTAGTTTGGAACTGTGTCCCCAAAGTCACTAAACTGCTCCTTTGATCCAGCAATACCATTACGAGGCTCATACTTCTAAGAGATCAAAGAAAGAGGACGTGGGTATATAATAATAATAGTTAACATTTACTGGAGAAAGAAAAGGAGAGAGAGAGTAATTGGAGAAGGAGAATTTGGAGGAAAGGAGGAGATAGATACAGAGGGAAAACAAGCAATGTAAAAACAAAAGATTGCAACAAAAACCCATGCTTAAGAAAATAAACAGTAAAGCCCTTTTTATAGTTAAGTAATCTTCTGACTGCTTTCAGGCATGCTGTGTGTGTGTGAGAGAGTGTGAGTGAGTGTGTGTGTGTGTTGTGTGTGTGTGTGTGTGTGTGTGTGTGTGTGTGTGTGTGTGTGTTGGGAGGAAAGAATGCGCATTAAACAAGCATTTACAAGGCACTAGACTTACCAGCACACAAGAACAGCAAAAGCTGCAATGCGAAAATCTGCTTCCTGCTGCGAAGACTTCCACGCTCACGAAGCCTGGTATCCTCCCAACCAGGCATTGCCAATCAGTGGGCGGGTTTCTGCAGTTTCCTGGGTCAGCGTTGCTCCCGGTCACTGTACACCACGGCACCACCAGCCTTGCTTGTGAAAGGCTGAGAAAGGCGGCTGAGGCTTCCGTCTTGTTGCAACTAGTACTGTCTGAAAACTGATGCCAATTCTCAGACACTGCTGCCTCCTTAGCTTCCCAGCACAAGGGAACAGATCGATCCCGATCGCCTCTGTGGCCACAAGGGTGCTCAGATAACTGTCCTTGCCTTACCTCTCTTTTGAGCACTGTTTGAAGAGACGGGGATTTAAGGCTGCCTCCCTATAGTCATGCTGCTTGCAGTATGTTAATTTCACCTCCTTTTCTTTAAAATCCCTACTAAGTTTACTGACCAAATATTTGCTAGGTAAATAGTGGAAATAAGAAAGAGAGAAAGAAAGGAGTAAAGAAATTAAAGAAACCTAAAGATATTTTTATTTAGTCAAAATAACTTGATTCTATGCCCCAGGATCATAGACCTCAACATTTAAGAATCCTAACCAGGGCTGATCTCTGGTATCTAGCATGGGGCAGGTTGGCAGGTCGGGTACTTACGGTGGGAGAACAATCTACCGCATCGGAGTGTAAGGTATCCAGATAATGATGGCCCTACAACCCTTGGTAGCAGGGCAGTCTGGAGTGGGAGCAGACCAGTCAGAATCAGGTGCTTAATACTTGTGCTCTGATTGACTAACTGACCTGTCAATACAAAGACAAAGGCATGCTTATGCTTACTCACCACACTTTTTAGGGTAGGCTGGTAAGTCTACCTACATGAGGATTTGGGAAACAGGAACTGAGCGAATCATACCGAATTCTACTTCTAGCAGCTGGCTCCGCCCTGAGCCAACAAGGGTTCCCCCCCCCGCACACACACACACACACACACACACACACACACACACACACACGCGCGCGCGCGCGCGCACACACACACACGCACACACACACACGCACACACACACACACACACACACACACACACACACAAAAGTGAGCATGCGTACTCTGGGTCTGCATCCACTGTGCTTATGCCTTTCCTCAGGCCCTCCGCCTCTCCCCCTCCCCCATTTACTTTTCCTTATCAGCTAAGGGACGCAATTCGTTCGAAGCAAAGGCATTTAATGAACTTGCCTAGTGAAAGTAACGTGTAACCAAGCGCCCCCACAAGACTCTGGGCTTTCACAAATTAGTTTCAATCATAGGAACCTGCTCTTAGAAGGTAAATTTTTCTCTTTAACTCACTGTTCCCACCTGGAGTTGCTACATTCTTTACAAAAATGAAGACCTAAATAATCTGAGAAATATTAATTTTTCATGGTTAGATCGTGACAATATAATAAAAATGACAATACTACCCAAACTAAACTTATGCATTCAGTGTCATGTCAATCTAACTACCAAAGAATTACTTTATAGAGCTAGAAAAAATAGTAACAGAATTTATCTGCAAGAACAAAAGATCAATAATCTCAACAGAAATAATAATTCCTTCAACAAGTATTTATTAAGGATGTACTATTTGCTGGGTGTATGGGAAAGAAACAATTCCTACTGGCAAGGAGCCGACATTTTATATATATATATATATATATATATATATATATATAGATAGATATATATATATAGATATATAGATATATAGATATATAGATATATAGATATATAGATATATATATATATACACATATATCTCACAAATACAAACTGAATAAATAAAATATATGCAAAGCAATTGTGAACAAGGTAGTTTTAGAGGGAGGGCACTAGCAGTTGGAGGGATCAGAAAAGGCAGAAAATGTTTCTTGAGCTTCATCTTAAAAAGAAGTCATAATGAAAAAAAGTGAGAAGGAAGAGGCCTAACAATTTCAAATTTCAAACTATGCTGCAAAGTAGTAATCAACAAAACTATTTGGTACTTGTTGAAAAAATAGTGTAACCTGAGATTCAAGTGTATTTGCCTAAGACTCTTCTCGTTGATGGAGACTGATTACTTGATGCTCTGATGGCTCCATGCCTGTGTGAGGGGTGAGAACTTTGGAGATGAGAGATCCTCGTTCTTCCAGCTGCTAGCTTTAAATCAGGAGGGACTAATAGTTCTAGATTCTCTTTAAGGAAAGGTTCTTGAAGGGAGAGAAAGATTCTGGGAAAAAGTTGGCACATAGAGGAGGCAGCAGCCATGTTCCTATAGCCAGTTTACTATGCTAGGGATTTTAGAGAATTTCTCTTTGGTAAGATCTGAGAATCTTTCTTTCTCCTATAGTTGAGCTGAGATATTTTGCTCATTCACTGTGCATATTGTCTGATATATTCTAAACTGTATACTTCTCTACTATCTGTTTGCTATTGGCTTGGATAAATGGGTTTATTTGCTATTCACTGTGTATCTTTGTGTAATTGGCATTTGGTGATAAGAGTGTTCAGCCTTTGGATATATAGTTTGGGGACACTCCATCTCCATTAAGGGATAGTGATTAAGAGCTCAGTTTGAACCTTAAAATTATTTTCCCTAAAATTTTTTTTAAGGGGGAAGCTAGATATAATCCTAGCCTAGCCCAATGTCCCTTCTCTCCTAGGACAGCAGAGTGGCCAGCCTTGTATCTTTAATCTCCTGTTTCCCTTGTGGCAGGGATCAAAATCTGTCTTGGAGAGGAGTAGGCAGAGGAGATTCTAGAGACATTTATTCATAGTATCTAGATAGATCTATGTGGGCACACACATGACTTACATGGGCAACACATACATGCCCTACAGTAGAAAGATTGATCAGTGGAACAGATTAGGTACATAACACAGAAGCAAATTAATATAGTATCATAATGTTCTGTAAACCCAAAGACCCTGACTGGTAAGAACACAATTCAACAAAAACTGCTGGGAAAACTAGAAAAAAGTCTGGCAGAAATCAGGTTTGGACTAACATCTCATGCTATACATAAAGATAAGGTATAAATGGGAACATATCTTCGATGTTATATTGTAAACAAATTAGAGGTATGAGGAAGGAAATACCTTTCACAATTGTAGATAGGGTAAGCATTCATGACCAAAGGATAGAGGGTATTACAGAAGACAAAGTGGATAATTTTAATTGCAAAGAATTAAAACATTTTTAATATATAAAATCAATATAGTTGAAATCAGAAGGAAAAAGTTAACTGGGAAAAAATCTTTACAGCAAGATTCTCTGATGAAGGTCTGATATTCAATATATAAAAGGAACCAATTCAGATAAGAATAAATCAGTTCCTTAAAGATAAACAAAGGATGTGAACATGCATTTCTCAAAGAAAGAAATAAAAGCTATCAACAATGAACTTTTAAAAGTTCCAAATTACTAATGATTAGAGAAATGCACATTGAAACAACTCTAAGATTCTGCCTTACACCCATAAGATTACCAAATGCTGTATGACAAAAAAGGAAGCTGATAATTGTTGGAAGGGTTGCAGGACAACAGGCACACAAGATTTATTGATGAAATGGGAAAGAAAGATGTGAAATGGAAAAGATTTCTATAGTGTTCTCTTCTCATTATTAGTGAGGTGAAATCCACCAGGTTTGAACTCTAACACCTGAGTTAACTAATGTGAGTGAAGAGGTGGAAATGGTAATCAAGCAAATGAAATCATGCAAAATGGCTGGAACTGAAGAGATGCAAATAGAGGAAATTTGACCTTGACGCAACTCAATGTCCAAGGCACTTTAGGGACAAATTTTCAGGTTAATCTCACAGAGAAAAAAATTTCAGAAAAATGAAAAAGATCACAGTTTCTATAGATGTAATCCAAAAAAGGTAACTCAGGAAACATCAGTGACAATTAACCCATAAATTGTCTCTCTGTTATTTTAAAAGAATTGATGCATAAATCAGGTGTATACATTATGAACATGTGAGAAGGGAACAGGTTCACAGATAATTCTTATGGCAGACCACACCTTCTTAGTCACTTAAAGGTATAAAGATGTGTTTATCCTTTACTAATTACTCTTTAAAAAGTATTTAACTCAAGTTAAAACATAGTCTTAAGGGCTCTTCCCCAACAATAACTCTCAATGCAAATATAAAGATTAGACAGACTCCTTAGCCGCTTGATAGATGCACGCACAGAGATGATCTTTTGATTGATTGCCCATCTCTTTCGAGTACTAACAAGAAGGCACATGCTTGCTAGAGGTTCTCCTATGTCATGGAGAATATTTTGGACAGAGTTCAAATGGAAGAGGAGTTCTCTCTATATACAGAGATATTCTACCAGATGCTCTAGTTTGGGGGAGTACACTGACCTCTGTTGATTGACTCAAGCCCTGGAATGCTTGAGAGCCTTTGCAATGAGATCTATGGCCACTAAGCAAAGATTAGCCTAGGAATTCACATGAGAAAAACTATAAGATTGAATTATATGAATTAGATTATTATATGACATTGATTGGGAAGGCCATTGAGTTAGTCTATCATTATATTTATTTTCAATAGATAGTAGATGAGCTACGTCCAGAGTGTGAGAGGAGAAGACTAGATTACATTGGAATATTAAGCTTTTTTCGATGACCTTGAGCTGCCCCTTGGCAATACGGCATATGTTTTAAGCATCAGTATTTGCCCAGTAGAGGCAGCTAGGTGGCACAATGGATAAAGCACCTGCCCTGGATTCAGGAAGACCTGAGTTTAAATTTGGCCTCAGATGCTTACTAGCTGTGTGGCCTCAGGCAAGTCACTTAATCCTGTTTACCTCAGTTTTCTCATCTGTAAAATAAGCTGGAGAAGGAAATGGCAAACCCTACCAGTGGATAGAGCATCGGCCCTGAAGTCAGGAGGACCTGAGTTCAAATCTGAACTCAGACAAAACACTTGACACTTACTAGCTGTGTAACCCTGGGTAAGTCACTTAACCCCAGTTGTCAAAAAAAAAAAAGCTCTAGATACTATGCTAGGTGTTGGAGACAGAAGGATGAAAAAAGAATGAAACAGAACTGCCCTCTGAGTGCTTACGTTCTCTTTGGGGTGGGGGGAACAACACATGTACATAAAATAACAAAGATATACCAAGTAAATATAAGGTCAATTGGACAGGGTTCATTAACAGCTGGAGCGGTGTAGAAAAGCCTCATTTAGGAAGGCAGAACTCAAAGGGCCAGGGATTCCAAGAGGTAAAGAGAGTGCACTCCTGTGATGGACAATGGTCTTCGAGAAAGCCTAGAGATGTAGAGAGGGCAGTACAGGCTGAGTAACAGCAAGCAGGTCATTAAGTCTGGAATCCAGGGTGAGGGAAGGGGAATGATGGGAGACAGGGACCCCAAAAGTTAGGGTATAGTTAAGATTGAACTTCTGGTGTTTGGGGAAGGAGTTTGTTCAATATCCAAAAGATTGGAGAAGGAAGGGACTCCAGAGGAAGAATGAAATGCACATTCTTACTTAGACAAGGCCAATATGGCAATTTGTTTTTCTGAACTGACTGACTATCTATCTATCTGTCTATCTATCTGTCTGTCTGTCTGTCTGTCTGTCTGTCTATCTATCTGTATGTATATATATATATATGCATGTATATGTATATATATGTTAAGTGATTAATCCAGGGTCACATGTACACATATATATGTTTTTATATGTGTGTGTACATGTATGTGTGTATGTATGTATATATGTTAAATGATTAACCCAGGGTCACATATACACACACATATATATACATACATACATGAGAATGGGCAGATAGATAGATAGATAGATAGATAGATAGATAGATAGATAGATTTGTTACAAGGGAAGACTTTGACTTGGGTTGGTGGGAATAGGTTTGCTAAGTTAGTGGGTAGTGATACA